TATCCCACATCAGAAGAATAACGTACTGTTACTTTTCAAGATGTACACATTTATGGTAGGATAAATTTAACTCGGAAAAAACAATCATTAATGTATTTATAAGCAAAAGAAATGTAACAGCTGTCACGTCTATAATGCGACTTAATTACCCTTTAATTATATAATGTCCGTGCCCTTGGGAGAGGGGTTAAAAACTGATATTTTTGGGGAAGTTTCTCATCAAGACCTTTCACTCAAGTGCATAATGCGGTTGATGTGTATGTCTTACCGATATCTCAAAAAGTGCTTAAGAGTCCTTGGAGCCTAGACGTTTTAACTCATAAAACAAAAAAAAAACCATTATGTTTTTACCGTCTTGTGATTCAACTGTATAAGTGTAAATATATTATTATTATTAGTGTTATTAGACGTATACCGTAATTTTTTTCAAATAAAAAAAACTACAAAGCAAATTTCTAATCTCACAGTATACTTGATATTTAAATTGTAATCACTTTGGCATTTGAAAAATTAATTTGAGGTAGTAAAAACTCTTTAGCGGCTGTTTGAAAATAAAACTAACATTGTTCTTATGTCGGGCAAATCCAAGATGGCCGACGGCTTCCATGGACTCCCTTGGAAAATACATTCAAAACAACAAACATGTCTAATCTCACAGTCACAGTATATTTACATTATAATAACTTTTGAGTTCAAAAAACTAGTTTTATAACTCTTCAGCAGCTGTTTGAAATTACCCAAGATGGCCGGTACGGTAGCCTCCAAAGGACTCTTAATCCTTAGTAGTTAAATTATAGAGCCTACGCATGCCTGATCATTTCAAACTTTCATCTTGCACAAGACCTTTTTTGTACTTTTAGCATTGGTATAATTTTTTTACTTTTAGCATTGGTATAAATTTAACAACTCACAATATTGCAATTTCCAAGTATACAGTACCTAAAGCTGGAATTCAAATTAATACAGTAACCCCCCCCCCCAAGACCAACGAGCACATAATATAAATGTGTTTATATTATGTGCTCGTTGCCTAATACTGATACTAGATCGAACTAACCATACAGTAAACTGGTAACGCAAGCTTACAAGATTGTACAAAATTTCCTCAAAATCAGAGGATTTTTCCTTGTTCTATCCATCATGGTAACAGACACGTGTATACATTTGAGCCGATGGTCTTTTTGGCCTCTGGGGACATCAAAATACAAAGTACTGTAAGTTGGTCCTGAGTACCAACTCTCCACAGGTCCAAACAAGTGACCTGCGGTACAATATTGGCATATTTCCATCGTGGGAAATTCGCTGAAAGATATTGGAACATTTGCCGCCTATCCAATAAGGCCTAAGGCGGAGGACATGAAAGCTGGAAGCAACAATACACCCACCGCAGCAAACCTGCAGACTAAGCTAATCTCCATTTGCTTGATTGGATTTTAAATTAAATATATTTTTGAATATCATTAGGTTTAACAAGTACCTACCTAGGTCTGCTACATGGAGAATAATGATGTGTTTTTAATAAAAATATAGCTTAAGTATATACAAAAATTGCCAATCTTTATCTAAATATATCCATAAGCAAGCAAGCTAAAACAGTTAACTTATTCTCCATAAGAGGTTACCGACCCACCGTTCTCTTACCGTACCGTGTTTCCGTTCTCTTACCGTGTGCCGTGATTTCTTACCGTTCCACCTACGGTAGGTCTATAGGTGAATTCTCAAAAAAATATGTTTGGGGTAGGAATTTTGTAATAACAAGCTAGGTGTTAAAGAACAGTCATAACGACCATATGACATTTACAAAATGTGTTGGAAATAGATCCTCAATGTACTGCATATTTTAATATTGTAAATAAATTCACGTATTTTAACTGTGTCATTGTTTCTTTCTCCTTTGACGACCCACTGTGAAAGTTTTAGAACGAGCCCTGGCTCTATTCGGACCGTCCTGGAAGGGACCATGAAGGTTCCGGGCTCTTTTCAGGCGTATACCTGAATTTTGGGATCTTTTCAAGTGCGTCCGCCTAAGGCATGTACAAAAACCTCCTGTGGTTTGGATTATAGGGGGCAAAAAGACTCTAAGGAGTTTTTTTCTTATTGAATTTGACTAACGTGATTAGATCATAAATTATGCTCAGTCACTTAAAAAAACTTGAAAATTTTAAACAATGTATTAGTTCTTAACTTACCTTGAAATAGGAATTGGTAGAAATCTATCAAATCACGGCACGGCATCTGATGATGAACTGCACTATTTCACTGTGTTTTCACCCAGGTTAAAACTTAAAGGAATGATTTTAACAAATCATAGCTTGTTTTACCTACACACTGCCCATTCTTGTGTTTTATTTTTTTATTGTACCAAACTAGCTATATAATTTTTGGTCAATAATCAATTAAAGTAATTTTTTTATTAATCGTTAGCCGTTTTTTTACTTTTATCTAATTTTAATTGGTGTCTCATTCAAGGCATACAGATAAGATACATGATTTTGTGACAGCCTCGGAAAAAACTAATAAAGCATGTACAATATTTTACAAAATACGTTGCAAAATTGTTTGCATTGTGATCAAATCTTTGTATGTGTTCTCTCGGCCAGGTCCAATGTGACAGACTGACTGTTCTAAAAAGGAACTTGTTGTTATATAAATTTTGAAAGAACTTCAAAACAAAACCACAACAGTATTTTTTATAGGCATTTAGTACTTGAGGGTCTCCAAACCATTTTTCGCATATCTTGGACCAGCTAGCATTTTGTTTGAAGGGTTAAAACGGCATTTTCTTTTAAGTGCCAGAGGTATTATGTGTTTAATCAGGAACAACCTTTCTGTCAAAAAAAACATGTAGTTTTTCGGAGCTTTTCGAGATTTTTAGGGCAAAATAAGTGTGATTTAAGAAGAAATAAAGTAATAAAATAGCCTTATAATCATAGTGTGGTATTTATCAAAAGTTTGTTTGGAGACCCTTAAGTAAACAAATGACTAGTATTTGCTAGACAATTTGTTGATAAAATAACCAGTTATAACTCCTACGTTCAGGCAAACCATTTCATGACCCCTGTATAAAATTAAATGAATTTTTCTTTATGATCACTGTTGCTTTATAAAACTTAAATACTTCTATGATAAATTTAACACAAACTCCTTTATTGTTAATCAATCTACTGGAATTTAAATACTGTACCAAAACATATCCAACTTAAAAGTAAACTGTAATTTACAATATCGTATATCACTGAGATTTCAGTCAACCAGTTTACAACAAAGAAATGGATAACATTAGTTTTAAATTAACGTTTAAAGAAAAAATTGAATGTAGTAAAACTTTTGTTGTCGCTAAGTTAAAACAATTGAAATAAAATAACTACAAATACTTTAGAGTTTATTGATGAAAAATGTTTTAATATTTAGTGAACTTGCAAAAGTTAATTTTAAATATTTAATTACTGTATGTTTCAACCCAAGGATACTGGTTTGACAATAATACACGTTGTGACAAAGCATACACTTTTATTTTAAATAACTTTCAAAACAAATTACAGTACTATAAAGCTACATTTTGACAACAGTCTTTATTAGAGCAAATAAAAAATTACAACGCTTTAACAATGCAAAAAACAAAACATATAAAACTGTACATATTTTATTTACAACAAATTATTTACAAATTGTAAAATGCAAAAAAGTTAGGAATAAAGTCACTATCTTTTATATTTGCATAAGCATCTTCGTAAGTGTTTTCTGAGTTAAATTTGCATTTATAGTGCATTTTATTTTAACACTGAGACTTTAGTACTGAACTAAAAAAATAATCAATTGATTTATTGACACAAATAATAAATATATTATGTTGCATGCCATAGATAAAACATAATCCTGTATGTTACGACATAATCCTGTATGTTACGACATACAAATAAATTAATGAAGCAAATTAATTATACAGGGTGATTTGTACTCAGTGTGACAAAATTTTTTTGATGTAAGTACAAAGTAAATGAAGTGTGATGATGCATATCAAATGTTCCAAGTCTCAAAATTAGCGTCCCAAAAAATTATTTTATGTTTTTCAAAAATAACCATGCTTTTAAACTTAATACAGCGATTTCTTAATTACCTGTATATAGATTTGAGTAGATAATGTCATTTTCGTGTTCTACATTAAATTTTGAACAAGAATAATGGAAAATGACGGAGGATCAGTTGTAAAAACTCCATTGTAAATAGATTCAAAGATAAAAATTAAGATATTTGATAAAAATTTAAAAAACAATGGTCTATTGCATTTTTCACACCCTGTATACAGGAAAGTGTCGGAATATGTTAAAAACTGCGTCCTTTTATAAGCTTTCTAACCATATGCTACACTATTGAGGTTTAGATATTTTTTTGTTTGTTTTAGTGGTTTGAATACCAGAAAACAGTGAACTTTTTTACTGTTTTTACTGTTCAAGCTGAATCAAAAATACAACTTTTGCTTAATACATGCCGACTTTCTATGTTTTAAATGTTAAAGACACCATGCTTTGTAGTCTTCAAACCATTAAAGCGTACATAAGCAGACATAAACCTCAATAGTGTAGCATATCGTTGGAAAGCTTATAAAATGGTGCAGTTTTTAATATATTCCGACACTTTCTTGTATACAGGGTGTGAAAAATGCAATAAACCATTGTTTTTAAAAATTTTATCAAACATCTTAATTTTTATCTTTGAATCTATTTACAATGGAGTTTTTATAACTGATCCTCCGTCATTTTCTATTATTCTTGTTCAAAATTTAATGTAGAACACGAAAATTACATTATCTACTCAAATCCATATACAGGTAATTGAGAAATCACTGTATAAGTTTAAAAACATTGTTATTTTTGAAAAACATAAAATAATTTTTTGGGAAGCTAATTTTTAGACTTGGAACATTTGATATGCATCATCACACTTCATTTACTTTGTACTTACACCAAAAAATTTTTGTCACACTGAGTACAAATCACCCTGTATAGATTTTTAATATTTTACTGTACGAGGACATTTCTATGTGTGTTTCATAGGCATTTCAAATACTGGCAATTCATTCTGAGTAAGAGTTGGATTGCACATAGTACAAATAATAATAATGCAATAAATAATATGTTTTTCTATATAGTGAAAATTACAGTCCCACTCTTTGAATTCATCACCACATATATATACACCACAAAACATGCACTTAAAACGGCCCTTGAGAGTAAAAACCGCTTAAATATTTACAAATGAGTATGTTATGTTAAATATTCAAAGTTTGATATAAAAATATGAAAAATTTACAAACATTAAAACATGATAACTTTCATTTGTATTAAAATTACATTTCATAGCATATAAGGTAAATATTTGTACTGTCAATATTATGTCAAATATTCTACTAACAGACCTAACCTTGATTCTCTTCTATTTCTTGATACCTAATATACATCATTTTCCTCACACAGTCCTTATAAGTTTCTCCTGGGCCTGGCACTACGCCAGTAGTTTTTGTACCCAACCCTGCAGTTGCTGATCTTCTTTCTGCTTCAATAATCGTCGTCCTTCCTTGGTTCTTCTTACCAAGACCCATGCCTTCTTGCCACCCCATTTTTTGCAGAAGCTTATTTCCCAAGTTGTCGGATCCAATACCCATTTTGGTTGGCTCTTCGTAACTGATTGTTGCTTCCTTTGATTTAATGTAAGTCTCTTTTAATTTGTTAGGCTGTGGTTTGTCTGGCTCTCCATATTTTAACCTTCTCTCTTTTGCCCTATCTCTGTATTGCATTGTTCTTTTCTGCGCATCGTCAGGGTCCAAACCTCTCGACTTGTACCATTTGTTCAGATTCTGCTTATGCAAGTCTGACAGCTGGGTGTGTTTGACCAGGATATCTTTGCTAGGGAACTGTCTCTTGCACAATAGACAAGCCAGTTTTGACCAATCGACATGTTGTTTTTCCTCACCTTCAACAGTCTCTTCTGGCTCTTCTTCACTGTCACTGCCATTACCATATGCAGCAACCAGGCTGTCTTGTTGCTGTTGGGTTTTTGGCGGTGATGAAGTTACTGACATTCCACTGGGGATAGTTACATCTTTTCTTTCGAGTACAGCAAAACCTATGTCTGCAGCTCCTTGGGTTCTAAGAGAAGCAGTGTTCACAGACTGCTGTGCAACCAGGTTTTGTTTGGCAATTTCTTTTTTATGATTCAAAGTCTTTGCCCACTTTTCCATATCTTTGGCAATTCTTTTAGCAACTTTTACCTTGTCTTTATCACTAGTTTTGTCTTTTATTTTCTTGTCATCATCTTTAAGATCTCCATTTTCTAGAGCGTCAGAAATTCCAGCAGCACTAGCAATAGATGCCATAGCACCTGAGGTAGTAGCAGCAGTTGGTGCCGGCATAAAAGTATTTCTATTGGAATCCCAGTACAAAAATTTTGCTAACTTTGAATTATAGTAGTACTGGGAATTAGCATCATAGTAAAGAGTTGTATAAGGGTCATAGTAATAACCTGAGGTTTTATCGTACTGATAGGTGCTGACATCAGGAATACAGTAAGTCCTAGACCCTGACCCATCAGGAGCCTCTGTCAGTGGGGCTGTGCTTGATGTGCTACTAGCAGCTGGTTTTGCTAGGTTCTCTGCAGAAGAATCTGAAGGCAATGAGATCTGACCTCCTTCTGAAATCAATTTGTGATAGTACTGCTGATAATATGTTAAATAGGTATTTTTCTCTTCAGGAGTCTTTGCATACAAATTTGCACTGTACTCAGCTAGGCGACTTACATCTTTCAGAGTATACTGACTCATTTCCCCAGTCTTCTGATGACTCCACTGAGCAGCTTCAACTGCTGAATTTCCTGCCTTAGATGCCTGAATGATGGCACTCTGGGAAGCTGTGTCTGATTTGTAGTATGAAACTAATGGAGTTTTTCCATCAATTTCAGGTGATGCCATTAAAAGTGCATTATGTAGAAATGTAGCATCCATGACATAGTTCATTTCAATATAACAGACTCCTAAAGATGTACTAGTAACTGGATCCCTTCCAATACGGACACTTTTTATAGGAAGATTGGAGAGTACTTGAATTGCTTCAAGTACGTTTGCCTCAGTTGTCAAAGTGTCTAATCCTCGAAGAAGAACTGTGTTGGTAGGGTATGCACTAACTTCATCAGCAATAGCATCTTCTCTAGTGCACCCACATTTATAACAAATATCTCGTCTCTTGAAATTGTGTGCTGAGCACTTGCAATGCCAATCACTATAATAATGTAATCGAGTATCTTTAGGTAGACTAAACTGCATGATAGCTCTGTAGTGGTTGTTTAGCATCAATTCTCCATTTTTTAACTCCATACATTTTACAGCCTCTTCTGTAGAAGCAAACTCAACAAATGCAAATCCTCTAGAGGTGCCATTTTTTCTTCTGATCATGCGAATATCTGATGGGTCAAGACCACATTTGGCAATTTCTTGTCTAATATCATTTTCAGTTATATGTTGAGCCAGACCTCTAATGATTATAGTTCTGTTTTGCATAGGTTGAACACCAGCTGGAAGTTCTGGCCAATCATTTCTTAAATCTGATAAATCGTTGTTCCAAGAAGAATTACTACTCTCATATCCATCTGATTTTCCCCAAACCTTTTCCAACCAATCATCTTTTTGACCACCCCCTTGAGTGCTACTCCATTCCCTGTTACTGAAATCCCTGTCCTTTCCAGATTCATCATCCCAATTCCTCCTATCTCCCCTAAAACCCCTGCCTCGTGTTTCCTCATCATTCCAATTTTTTCTCAACTTCTCATCATCCCACCCTCTTCCTGGAGAACCCCTATAGCCCCGTCTTTCCCTAGAACTTGAACGTCTCCTATCACGACCACGATCCCTTTCCCTTGACCTACTTCTTGATCTTCTATCACGCGGACGCCTTTCTTCATTGTCAAGGAACCTGTTTACAGAATTTTCCCAGGAATCTCTTTCTCTCCCGCCCCTACTTTCCCAATCTCGAGACATGCCCGAGTCCCGTTGTCTGGAATACTCTTCAGGGTTATCGGACCTCTGGTAGTAGGCGCTGCCACCATCGAAGCCTCTCCGGTCCATGCCAGTCTAATGTTCATAATAACCAACATAATCAAAAACCAATTAGTCAATTGCATTTAAATGACAGATAAATTATAATTGCATTTGGTAACCAGTCCAGTCCATATCTGCCCTCTGGGGCTACACATAGAAAAAAATACCATATACAACACAATTAAACACAGCTGACAGGTAGCTTTTAAAACTCCATCTTTGGTAAAGCTGAAAAAAATCATTAACCCTCCATACAATTTAAGAAATAGCTTCTAAATACACCTGAAAAATAATTACACAATTAACAAAATCAAAGAAACAACCATTAAAATACGGGTAATGTTGTGTGCAGAGTAAAATTGCACCAACTGAATTACGGGTATCATGTTTTGGCAGAAAAACCATAATAAGAAAAATGATGGAATGGTGGCGGATTTCTTTCAACCCTATAGTAAGTGGACAAACCATCTGAACCTTAATTTGCATAAAGGAATTTTAAAATGGACAAAGACCATGACTGAATTTAGATGAAACTTGTGTAAACACAGACAGACTAGTTTACTGGATGGGAATAGAATAATGAGTACCATTCAGGCACTATTGTGAATCAAATTATATCTTATATTTTCCTATGATGGATTGTCATCTTACAATGGGAAAATATGTTAGTATACTATGAATAACACTTTTGGTCTTTTCAAATACAAGAATAACAATAATGAAAATTCAATCATGCCAAGTAATAATAAAAAAACCCATACATAAAGACTGTTTTAAGAGGCAAAACCATAAAGAAATAAAAAAAATTGCTTTTATCATTAAAAAATTAAGGAGGATTCTGTAATGAATGCTGTTTGGCCATACATTTTTAACAACTAAAAATATGTATTTTTAAAAGCCGTCATACACAATTTTAATTGTATCATAGTTTTATTTTTTATGTAAGCCCTTTGGCAACAGACCCAAAAAACAAATTGGAAAAATCTGAAGGTGTTTTCCTAAGTGGTAGTAAAAAGTTAAATTTGTTGTAATGTTAAAAAATTTTAATAAACTTGCTGTTAGTTGAACATAAGATTTTTACGTTTTATATGCTGATGTAAGGCATGAGTGATGTGATCAAAGTAACATTATTAGATAAATAAACAAGTCCTCACCACCTTAACTTGAGGCAGCCCAAACTGACCTGCAGGGCCTTTAACAGCTGGCAACACACGCCCCTTTTACAATCCTATTAGCAACGCTTCCGTGAACGTCCTAGTTCAATAATTAATACAAGTATAATCTGATATATTAATTTACTCGTTTACATTAATAACATAAATTTAACACACATTTCTATTTATATCCTGTCTAAAACAGACAGTTTTTACGGTTTTTGAGCTATAAACAAAGTATCAAGGGTAACATAAGTATAAACCGTAAACATTGTCCGATTTGGATGGAACACAAACAGAAATGTTTGTTTAATCAATGTCACTAACTTAAACTAGTAAATTAATACATTAGATTATCGTTTTATTGAACTAGGGAGTTCACGGAACAGTTGCTAATAGGATTGTAAAAGGGTCGCGCGGGTAATGGTCCTGCAGGTCAGTTTGGGCTGCCTCAAGTTAAGGTGTCGAGGACTATAGATAATGATACAAAATTTCCCACACACACAATGAAAAATTTGCTTTTGCTGAGACTCACAAAATGAATCAATAAAGACAGAGAAGTTTTGAAATCATGGCTTGACAAATGAAGTAACATGGATCAAGATAAGTCAGACAAACCCCAATACAAATTAAAAGCAAACATTAAATTAAATTTACAAACAGGGCAGGAAGAGTGAAAAATGTGATTTGGGGGCTAATCGTAGTTCTTAAATAAACCTCAATGATACCAAAGACCGTCAGCTGTGCTGCGGTTACCATAGGTTCTGGCGCACACCACTGGTAGCGCCATGTAGTTGCGGCCTAAGCGCTACGTAACTACACGGCACTCCCAGCGGTGAGCGCCAGAACCTATAATATCCATGGTAAAAACTGCATGGCTGACAGTCTATATTTAATTCTTTTTGTCTATGGTGATACTGAGAGTCTATTTGAAGTCATCACAGTTTAGACATTTTACCAAGTAGAACCCACAGGAAACAGATTATTTTTATCACAATTATCTTTTACACAAGTACATGAAAATTCAAAATATATTAAAAACCATCATATTTTGTCCTTACCGTATCAGTGGAGATCCAAAACTTAGAGAAGAATATTGGCACAATCCAGGAAGACTAATTGAGAAATGCTATCCAGTTAGGATTTCTTATCTGTAACAAGTTGTGTAATTGCTGTGGTGAAAGGTTCAACAAGACTTTTAAATTATTCCAATGAACCCTTCGACAAAAATATATGCTGTCCAATTTCATGTCCACATGTTTTGGTAATTGTCCACAATGTCTTTCACACATGAGATTCACAGATGGTACGGTAATGCAACTCTTGAGAAAACTGACACTATTCCTGGTTTTATCCAGACCACATGATTATATCGATTACGCTGAGAATTCCTGCTGAACTTCATCTTGAGTTTTAAAATTGTGGAAGGTGCTATTCCACATGGGAAAAGGTCAAAACCATTATTTGTTAAAATGATTGACACAAAAACTTACCACTTCTGATTTTTCTTGAGAAATTACATTGTTTGTCTAAAATGCTCTGCAAGAACAACATTGTCACTGTTCAAAACCTTGGACAAAGTAGCGTAGAGGATATTTTTTTGGAATAGATAATGTCAAATATAACACAATTTAAAGAGTAGCAGTAAAACAACTGACGGATGTGCTTCAATTTTATAAACTCCCTTACAACAACAATTTTAGTGAATGTTAGTTATGTGTTGATGTGGATTTGAATACACAAATATTTATTTTTCAGTGTCTCCAAAACAGTCAAATTGCACAATGGCTGTGTACCTAGTAGATTGTGTAGCTACAAAAAATAAAAGCAAAATAATGAAACTTGGTGGAAATGGACTAATTTAACAGCTGAATATGGAAATCAAATTTACAAACATTTTAAAATAGCTGTAACATATTAACTAGATTTTTCTAACTTCAATATAGCGTAAAATTGTTGAACAATAGTTTCCAAAAACCTGAATCCATATCATAAAAAAATCATGTTAAACTGATATTATAAAGCTAGTAATATGTGTGTAGTTATGTAACAGTGCTTTTTAAAGTTACAACATCAAATGATGTGTAGGATATGATTTGTTTGTAGTTATATTCCATGCACTTAAGATGCTTATAAACTATATTGGACCATGACAATGTACCTCCAGTGAAGTGAAGTTCTTTTATCAGCTGTAGGATCTTATTGTAGTCCAAAGAGCTAGGCTGCTGCTCTGTAAAAGGAGTCACAAGTTTGAAATATAAAGCTTATGTTATTGGTAGCTCAACGATTTTACTGCAGTCCAACACCAAGTGAAGACCAAAATTAGATAGTTGCACCCTGAGATTTATAAAGCCAAAGTAATAAGAAAAAATACTTGTTACCAAATAACAAGCACACTACTTTAACTATCAGACCACTGTAATGTGTTGCTACTCTGCTTCCGAATCTGAGTTATCATTACGTGGAAATGAAGTATCGTCCTTTATGTCCACATTCGTGCAATTTTCTATTCGACTTTTTTCATCTTTCGTTTTTATTTGCCGCAGCTGAAGCATGCTTGTGAGCACGCTGCGTAAGTGTCCACATATGTGTGCTATAAAGTGCTCCTGACAGAAGAGTAAAATCTTGTAGAAAACATAATGGTGTTTGTATTGTAATTTATTTGTGTGATTATGAATCACGACACTTTGGCAGTTGCTTGAATTAGTGTTGCTTGTCAAAAGTGTACAACACAAAGCAATATCAAAAGTGCAATATCAGAAGTGTACAAACACAAAAGAAATGCTCGTTCTGTATGGAATAAAGATTACTTTAAAACAAGAAACTTTAAATATTAAGTAGTTCGGAGCTTAGTGAAAATACTTTGTTTAAAAATTTCACTAGAAATTATCTCTAGAATGTCTAGAGATAATTTTTATCACCTGCGCATCAAGGTGTATGATTTTATATACTGCACAATGCAATAAACAAGTTAAAACAACTCAAAACAACCCTAAGCAGCACGGTAAAACGCAAGAATAACCAAAGTTTTGGTTCAGGTTGCTTTGAGGCATGCAATTCAGAAACTACTCGGGTTTCTCAGAAAAAAAAGCAGGCTGCTCCGCATGTGTCACGTGCTCTAACGAGCATGTAAAATCACACAAGTGTGGACATAGCTATTGGTAATATGATTAGCCTAAATTAAAATTTTATTTTAATGTATGAAATGGATATGTTTCAGTTCAACTTTAGGAAATGAAACAGACTGAGAGATTTTATAGTTTTTGTAGTTAATAGGGCATCAAGTTCTATTATCCTATTCCATTTAGTCACAAATATATCATGAAATCAAAAATATAGGCCTATGTAAGTAACCGCTTGTAACCAGGCATTGCACACATTCTACAATGCCTTACACTAATGCTATATAACATTTAGACAAGATCAGCTTCACTTTAGAAACATTTCAAAACCTAAACAGGTCCGAATTTTAATTTCGAATTTAAAAAAAATTGAATCAAAGATACACAAATCTTTCAACTTGCTGACAGATCCGAGTCTTGCCTGCCTATTTGTGGGAGGAATTCCAAATTTAAATTTTAATGACTGATCTTAGCCTATTTATAAGTAGATAAATGTTAAAATGATTTACTTCATAAGTCCTTAGGACCATTAATATCTTAGCCTATATATAAGTAGATAAATGTTAAAATGATTTACTTCATAAGTCCTTAGGACCATTAATATCTACTTTGAAAAATTAAACAACCTGCAGCTAGAAAAAAAGAAAATTATAAAGGAAAAACTTTAAGCAAAATCATTTTACTAATATGAGAGGAAACTGATAATTTTACAGCCAATCAAGTTACTTTAACATTAGAGTCAGTGTCATAATTTTACATTGTTACATAGAGGGTTTAAATTGGTTTTTCTTATTTTTTAACCCTAAAAACTAATAATTTCCCTATTTCTCTCTAGACCATTATAAAGAGCTTAAAAAACAATCATTTAATATAGGCTATCAAAGAGTTTTTGTACGGTTATTGGTTGCGGAGGAAATAAAAAAAACTGTAAATTTAAAATTTCAATGTTAGGCGTATTCTTTAGGGTGGCTAGTGAAATCAACATTGAAAAATTCCCTGACTTTTCCCTGACAATTCCATGATTTTTTTAAACTTTCCCAGATCGACAAATTCAAAATTACAATTTTAATACTAAATAATTCTTCAAAAGGACTAATCTTTATCTGAAGAATATCTTATATATGTTTAAATTAAAAACATACATAAAATCTATAGATACAGGCTAGCTTATATTCAAACTTTGCAACTTAAACTGAGTTAAGTGATACGCAGTTTAAAATAAAATTTAATTTGTACAAAAACACAAAATTTATTTGTACAGACATATTTCTTAGTTTTCACTCACACGGCACACATACTCCCACCAGATCGACCTTTCATAACAATTATTAAAATTATGTTAAACATTTTGCTATTTTCCCTGGCTTATGACAAAATTCTCTGACTTTTCCAGATATTTAATATTCCCTGACATTTCCAGGTTTTCCAGGTCACTAGCCACCCTGTTATAGAGAATATTTTAAAATGTTGTAGACTGGTTGTTTGTAGATATAGTTTGATAAAATGAAAATTTGCTTAGTCTGCAGGTTTGCTGCAACAGGAGTATTTTACTACTAGTTACGACTAGACTAATTATCACATAGGGGTCGGAACCGACTGGAAAAGTAATGGATGAAATAGACTGCAGTGGTTCCCAAAAGGTGGTCCGCGGACAGTTTGCAAGGGGTCCGCGGCTATCTGGGGAAAAAAATTTTGAGTTCTTTCCGGGCTCCATCGTGTTTTTTTTTAATGTGCAAAGTATTCAATTTTCATCGTTATTCTTCGCCAATCCAACAGTGACTGCAAATTTCACTGTGCAGTTCTCACCACCATGAAGCATTTAACTCCTTTTTGTACAACCGAGACGTGTGAACAGGCCTTCTCAACACTTTGTCATATGAAAAATAAGTACAGAAATCGTCTCATTGAACATGATGACTTCCGCGTAAATGTTTCAAAGCACGGCAAAATTTTATGAAATTTTAGAGAAAAAAGATTAATTCCATCTCCCACACTAAGAACAGAAGTGGGATTTGTTCGACTTTCAACTACTGTACTGATTTACACTGAATATAACTTAAACATTTGCTTTGTAAAATGAAACTAGATTGTGTTCATGCAACCTTTGGAAATTATCTACCACCCATGCATTTTTATCTTTCATTTGTCATAAATTATTCCTAATGAAACGTTAACTCTGGTATTTACATTATTTTTAACCTGGACATTCTGCTCCATGAAATTATGAATCATAAATTATGACAATTATTTATGGGTCCCGACTACTTAGCTAGTTCACTTAGGGGTCCACGATTACCTGTTATTTGGGAACCACCGAAGTAGAGAACACAACGTTGGTCAGATTTGAACTAGCTCACTTGGTAAAAATTGAAGCTCATTGGAGACGATTAAATTACCAGACATTCTTAATTAAATAAATGATAGTATGAACTACCTTAAAAAAACATTTTGACTATATACTGAACAAATGATAATGGTTTTGTGAGCTAAGAATTAGGGTTTAGTTTAACATGAATTTTGGTTAGGTACAATCTTTTGATAAAAATACATAAATCTTGTGTAGCCTATATTGCTAGATACTTGTGGGTTAAAACGTGGATAAAATAAAGACCTAAGGAGGCTTTTTGAGTAAAAAGACAGCAAAATCTCCTTGATAAACATTAGGCCCTAAATTCATGATCAATCATTTAAATCATTGCAGTGCAAAGTAGAAAGAAAATAAAAGGTACCAAACAATTGGGAACTCAATATTTGAGGGAATAGCAAATATACTAGGTATACAATATTAACTACAGTAGAGCTCCAACTATCCGAATCAATTACCTCATTCGGATTTAATCAATAATTTGTATAGTTTTACCAAATGTTTACCATTGCGATCGCAGAACGCATATTCAAAGATTTCATGAACAAAAAATTCACTATTAAGACTGCAAAAGACGTGCAAGATTTGTCCACAATCGTGAAAAATAGTGAACATGTTTCTATGACCAATGGGCCACCATAAATATTTCTACACGACCATGGGAGTGTGCCTTTTTCCATAACGATTCTCATAACTGTAATTTTAAGTTTTTAAAACTTATTTCTGTAAGCGATTCGGATAGTTGAAATTCAGATAATTTGAGTTATACTGTACTACCATTGAATTACAAATGTGTGACGAACAAAAATTAGATTGTCAGTATTGATACCTTTGAATCAGAAATATTAAGAAAATACAGAAGTTAGGTAATATAGCTATACCTTTTGATTGAAAGTCTTTCAGGAGAACTGTAGATCAATGAAAATTGAAGAAGATCTTCCTGCTAATATATCTGTAATCCACAAACCATAATGACAGCATAGTAAACATTCAAAAATCAAACAGGAAAAGCACTTTTACACCCATAATGTTTCAGCAAAGTCTTCTAAAGGCGGGTACCAGGCATCTTCAGAAATGAATAGGAACTGGAGGAGCCAACCAGCTGAACCCAATGGAGAATATAAACTTGGAGATAAACTGTTGAATGTAAGATTAATAAGCTGTACAACTTAAAATACACAGTTATCTTTCAATAAGAAAGTTAAATAATGTATATTGATTAAGAGAATGAGAATACGATGAACTTGAGTCCACATGAACTCTCTAAAATAGCATAACATGTCCTCTTGTTTAGCTGCTTCTAAATTATCTGTTGTGACTGAATTAGGAAAAAAGCATTAGGCCCATCTTGTAGTCAAAGTGTGTAAAAACTTTAGGGTATCTCAAATACACACATTTTTATTTTAAGTAGCCTATTGTTTTTTTGGGACCAAAAATACTACAAATTTTACACATCCATACAAGCAATTTGGAAAAAAGTTTTAAACAATTTAAGTACCGGTAATGGAATGATGCAGAAACTCTTTTAGTGAATGATTAAAAAAAGATCAAAAAGTCAATAGCGTCAGCCAAAGCACCTAAATAATAAGCCATATTTCGACTTGTGACAAGTCATAATCCGTTAAAATTAATTAGCATATCTAAGCGCTTCTGAACCGATTTATAAAAACGACCTGTGAAGGACAACGTCTCGGTAAACATACATACGCTGCCGTTCTACACGTGGTTCCATACAAGGCCGTTGCGTCAAGAGCTTGCGTTTCCACATGTACATATTTACGTACAAACATATTTACACAGGTAAAATTAGTGTACAGTAGAACCTCTTTAATCCGAACCCCTGTAATCCGAACGTCCACTAATCCGAACGCCTCATTGCTGTACTCTATACACAGTACAGTAGTTCTTTATTGTATACTGTATTTATTGATATACGTACTGTAATTATTTTAATTGTAATGTACAGTACCGTTTATTCCCAATGTTTACTACTGTATTAAATAAACACTGTATTTTACTTTATAAAGCATTTTTCACTTTTCCCTAGCTATTGTTATGTATAAACAACAATATGTTCTGTAATCCGAACTATTCAATAGTCCGAACTACCCCCGGTCCCAATTAGTTCGGATTAAAGAGGTTCTACTGTACAAAATATTTATTTATTAATAAAAAACATTATTTTTAATAATAATGTAAACGCCGAACATATTAAGTGCAGTTCATACCAACCCGTGGTGCTTAAATGGACACCTACTCAATTGATGCCTATTTCTCTCC